TTTATAGAGAATACCGTATGATACTGTATCTACGGATGTCAACCTTAGCACGTAGTCAAACCCCCGAACGCCTACCCCAGCTTCCAAGCTAGTTATGATAACACAAAGAAGGAAAATTGGGGCCAAAGTTGCATCTGCACCGAGAATCCCAATTAGGAAAGTTATGAGAACAAACTGGTGAAAAACTGCCATGTCATACCTATCTAACCGGTGCTCGCGCCCCGCATGGTAAAATAAGACACCATACAAGGAAGCGGCCTCCTATCATAGCTCACTTCGATTAATGTCCCCAGCCCGACCTATGCATTAGGTCCCAGCACTGCAGGGTGCTAAGAAAATAACCCAGGGAGGTGGAGGGTTGGCAACCTGGATCTGAAGCGGGTGCAGGCCTCCCCCGCAAAAGTTACTATCATATCATAGCATCACAGACAAAATATACCATTAGAACAAGTACTGCGAGAGCACTAATGGTAAATTGAAGGGAACCCATCGTCGTCATAACATAAAAACCTCAAATGCGCCCCCCCCAAAAAAAATTTAGGGTAAGGACGACTTGAGGGTTATACGCCAGACCCTTGCTATGGATTGATATATCGCGCCTCGGATTCAGAAAGCCCGAGGCTCCATGATGACGCAACAGTAGAGCATTCATTAACCGCCCCTATCAGGTGCGGGCCTGAAGGAGCCCAAAGGCCTACTCCAAAGCCCAGAGTTTCCGAAGGGCCTCGGTGATGTATTCTCACAACAAAACATATCTATCGGTACCCCATATAAAATTTCACCCCCAAGAAAAACCAGTACCAGAGGTTGAAGTAGTGCTTCCCCAGCTGTACAGTTCTAGCAGAGGACCTTTTCAAACTCCGAGAAATTCTAGAGCACCCGAGGCCGACCAACGAGGATATCGAGCAAACGGTGAAGGCTTTTCACCAGTCCCCCCCGAAATCTAAGTAATTCCGCCATAATTTCAGGAGTCCCGCCTTCAACTTGCTTATTTCCCCGACCAGGAGTCTGCGATGTTTACCCCTCGCTGCAGCGAACATCATTTAAACAGTATTGATGTAAGCAATCACATAAACCAGCGGACCCCAAAAGACTCTAGAAGAACCACAATGCTAGAAAACACAAGGCCTCACAGGCACATAGAACACTACCTCTACCCTTTACCGGAATCCCTCACCTATTCCCAAAGGGTTTCCACCATATTGAGATATAAACTAGAAATAAAATGGGTATAGTAATAAGTAGTTTTATGCTCAAGGGAATTGAAATACTGGGTGCTTGAGCTGAGTACATTATCGAGCCATTACTTTTCTAATATGGGAGCCCTTGTCACAGTCTGTCCCTGGACGCTTAAGGGTTGCCCAGCCGGGATTGCAGGATTTTGAGTCACAAAACATGGAAAGTGCTTTTTTTTGGGGGGGGGGGGCAAAGTGACAACTAGTTTTAAAGGATTAGAAGTATAATATCCAAAAATCGATGGTGGGCTGGTACCAACACATACACTTCAGATTTGGAACATCAGGATTATAGATGCACTCAAATCAATCTTTTGATTTTAGCGAAACATATCCCTTACGAGGTGATCCTTTATGGTACCGGGTGAAACACGTTAGTAGACAAAATGAAACTCGTTGGAAGAGTGGGCCCTCTCTCAAATACTGTACCTCTGACGATGGAAGGCTCCTCTCACCTTCAAGCGGAGGAGCTGGCTCGAGAGAGAGCTTCCGGACAAAATCCAAGCCCTTACCTGCCCCACATTCTTCAGCCCACTCCCAAACCCCTGCCAAATTACAACTTCAAGAAACCAAAGTCCATACCTGGTGGAACCCCCAGGATGCACCCCCCAAACCCCTCGTTACCATTGAGGCAGCAGTCAGAGTTGCCCCTATCTCTCAAGAGTCAACTCCCACCCTCACCGGCACTTCTACTCGGGCGGCCCCCACTCATACCTTCCCGCTCCCTACTAGCACTCTCACTGGAACCCACCAACACCACCTTCGACCGGACCCCCCCCCTTGTTCTCCCCTCTCGAAAACTCCACGGTCTATCAAACCAGCTACAACGGGCACTTCTACTAGCACACAAGGTAGTGATATCTCAGAACTGTCGTCTATCTCGGACGGCAAGCCCTACAAGCATGAGACGGTGGCTTTCAGGTGCAGGGGCATTGTGGGTCTACAGGCGATAGCAAGCTACCCCCAGGAAATATGCAAGACGGCAGATGGCAGTTAGGAGGGTCACGGGGGTGTGAGTGATTTTTCATGATTTAGATCCTCCCATACCCATCCCGAAAACCGGAAACACACAAGTGGAATTGACGAACCGGGTAGGAATCCCGATGCTTAATATGCCTTCTTCTTCTTCTTTCTCGGGAATAAAATTTTGGGTTTTATCTGCTATCCACTATCCCAAATTACGACAGTTCTATAGTACCGGAATAACTTTGTAAAAACATCCCAGCGCTACAGGATGACGAGGCACCTATTGAGAGAAGAGGGATATTGGGAGCCCAAAATGGGTGGGTTTTGCTCTCGGGATATGCCCCCCCCCCCCCCCCGAGCAGTAGATGGACGGCCGGGGGCGCGGAGGGAGTATATCTTGGTCACGTAATATAAGGGGAAGCAGAGGGCAAAGGCCAATTGGCAGAATTTACCACATAATACAGGGCCTTTGGCTCATTGCCCGTGCTATCCTCGGCCCGTTTGGCGTAGGGAGCCGCAGAACCCCCCCCCCCCCCAAAAAAAAAAAAAGAGACAGACCACGACCCTTAGTCCACCCCGTCCCTTCCCCGAAGTCTGTCGGGCTGGGCCTCTGGGAACTCCGGATTAAATTGGAACTATGCTCCGACTGGATGGTGCCAAACCCAAGGGAGGGTAATTTAAAGGCGGAAGGAGATATATATCCAATCTACGATCGGCCGCTAGATTGAAGCCACTATTTCACCTCTACCCAACCGCTGCAAAAACCGGGGTTTTCCCCTCTCACCTCAGCCTTTGAGTCAGGAAATTCTCAACGTGAAGCGATTGGGCCTTCTCCATAAACGAGGGCCTGTACTTAAGTTCAACTAAGATGTTAGTTACCCCTAGCCCCGACTCCCCGTTTGGACCCTACGCCCAGGTCATCACAACAAACACCGCCAGTATCCATGTTTATAATATTCACCTACGATACATGCAGGTCTCACCAATTTTTTCAACCTAATTTTTGATATGTTCTCCACTCTGTTATAGCTTCGGCGCTCACTAGACTACATCGAATCACGAATGTACAAATCCCCAAAAAGAAGCTAGCATGTTTCACAGGGGGCTCTAGAGAAGTGTAGATCAGAAGCACTCGATACGCGCCTCTCTCTAGCGTTGTCTAAGACCCCAAAATCCTAAGCCGCGTGTCAACCCGCTTTCCCCCCCTTGATCCAATGGCCACCAGAGGAAATCAGCCCCGCAATCCTCTGGGATGATACCTATCTTGTTTTCCAGCTAAATGGTTTTTTACCGTCACCACTAGCGAGTATCTGCCCCACTAAGATTTTGGGGTGTCCATGGAGGAGCGTGTTCACCGCCACCTTTAACTCAGGTCACCGAGTGATAACCGATGATGGTGAAAGCACAATGTCGGGCCAGTCCAAAATCAAGCGAAGAAAGAACGATCCCGGTGGGAGGGAAATAAACACCCAAGAGCGTAAAGGTGAATACTACCTCGCATGCGCCGATTTAAAGCAGAAAATCCTGCAGAAAAACAGTAGAAATCATGTTAAAAGTCAATAACGGATAGTAATAGAACATAGTGTCCTATATCAGATCTCTGGAGAGCCATCCTGAGCTACAAGCGCTGAGGGAACCCGCCGGCGCAATTTCCTGGAGCCGCAAAAACCCCCCGGCAGCCTTCTTCCGCCTCCTGGGCTTCACTGATTCTCACTCGTGGCTGTACCTCCTCACCGAAATCTACCTGTACTCTTTAACACAGCGTAAGCCAAAAGCAAATGGATATAATTAGGGATCCAAAGCAAGAGATAGCTCTCGCAGGTGTGTCCTGCCTAGCGTCCTCAATCCCTGCTCCTTCCCGGGAAAAGGTGATGCAAATCATTTCCGAGATGTCGTCAGCGATTGCTCCACTAGAATCCAGTGTCCCCATAAAAAGCTTAGCAGGACATCTTGCATTCATATTAGTAATTCGGAAATCGGGCAGCGTTGCAACCCTACAGGACAAGCAAACCACGTTACAAGCACAGCACTCAAGTGCCGTGCTCGAGCAAGCCAACATTTGTTTTTGCTTTTTATATGCAGAGAAAATCCTCAGCCAAGTTATCATGATCTCATAACACAACCCATTCCAGTGAAATCACGTCGTACAGGCCCGAATCAGCCCTAGGAATTCACCGGCGGCGGTGCCTGAGCACTATTACTCCATCATAAGTAAATTCAACTTGAGAGATATCGCAATAGGGATACCGATAGCATACCATACCCGGCAAACGACAGTTCATCCACGGTCCGTGGAAAACACGCTGAACTGCTCCGCCCACCATGCCGGTTCTTCAGACCAGTGCATTAGTGACAATCGTGCCCACAAGGACCAAGACGAGCCCACCGTACTAGTACTGTACCGTACCCGAGTACTTGTGCACCTCCGCCAACATCGTTCCTCAAACCGGAGGATCTACTAAGTATACAATATCACGCCCAACCGGTAACCTCTTAATATAAACCCGGAGAGGCTCAAAGGCGGAAGAGCAAGTAGTCGCTGTCTGTCACTGTCTATGAATAAGCGTGATGGCTCTCTCGGAAGAGGATAGTCCCGAAGAAACAAGGAATCCGGAGAGTTGTTTGCCTTAAGTTAAAGTGTAATCTTGGAGTCCGATCAGCTCTAGCGCGAGCAGACGCGTACAAGTACCGGTAGTCGATGCGCAATTCGATGCTCCCATCATCTGTTCCCCGGAAAACCCTCTGCCTCAGTACTGTACCGTACAGTATCTCTCATGGCATCCACAATTTTCGCTCCCTATTCACCGCTCCTAATCACCAATTATTCGTCCCGAGAATACCGGTCCCGCACGCCGCCACCAGTGCTTCTAGATCCTCAGGAACGTCACAGGATTGCAGGAAGTCTCGGAAAGGTTCGAGCTTACTGTGTTGCGTGTCAAGAATACTATACGGCATTAAAAATGCTTGAACGATCCGATAATGTTATACAGTACGGTACCTCCATACCCATGATTTCGCCCAAATAGTGAGAGAGACCACTGTTCGTATGATATGCCAAGGGGCGGGCTACAGGAACCCCTGGCACCGTACCCTGTCCTATGGCACAGTTCAGTACTCTGGTGTTACGCGCTACGAACAGAACACGGGGGAAATTCTCGCCAAAAAGGGGTAACCAATTTTTCCGTCCAAAACAATGTTGCCCACGAAATGCTAACGAAAATCTATAGATCGAGTAATAAGGAGAAAGTGTCCAACAAAATTCTAGTCACTGGTACGAGTCCAAACCCAAGTACAATACAATAAGGGTACAACGAGTAACTTACTTATTTGTACCACTAGATCTCGATCAGCCATCCGGGACACGGAGTGCGGATCGCTGTTGCTGGCAGCCGCCCAGCGATCCGGCCATCCTGTCCACTCCCAGGCCCATGATCCACCAACCTCTCCTTCAGTTGTCGTGTCAGCTCACGTTCCAAAACCCTCCTCCAAACCTCACTATCGCCCGACAGCCAACTCATTCGCCCAATGTCTTCCGGTCGCCGCCGTCTCCCACATCCAACCGGTAGTGGCAATGACTTCCTCCTTCCACTTGCACTCACACTGACAACCGCAGCGATCGCAACTGTCGGTCTCTACTTCTGGCCCGGCAGCGACTCCCCATGGGCCTCTCCCCATGAGTCCGAGGATGAGGCCGAAGCTGGAGGAAGATCCCGGAAGCCCAGACGGCACCAATACTTCGACAGGATCACGGAGGAGGATACCGATGACTTGATCGAAGATGCCAGACGCGATGAAAAAATACGAAAAGAAAAATCCACCCGCAGACACAATACCGGCAGCACCAAACATGACACCAGCAGTAGCAGCACAATGATGGCAGGCGCGTTAGTTGTGGATAAGGTAGAGCACGCGGTTGGAAAAGCAGCAGGCCTATTCCCGGGAGCCTCGGAAAGAAGGAAAGCTGAAGCACTGAGAGAGATAAAGAAAGAGGCCGAGGAGGTATCGAGAAAGCAACAATATGTCCCAATGCCGGCAAGGAAGAAGAGTGTGGCGATTGTCGTGTCGGAGAGAAAAGTGCTTTTCGGGCAGGACTCAGACCTGGATTTTGAGGAAGCAGGGCTACCATCAGTGAGTTACCTTATCCTTCCTATCCCATGTTGCCTACTAATATCGTTCAGTCACTTTTATCACATCTACCACATCCATTGGACCTCACCCATACAATTGTCAACATTCTAGTCTACTCACCACAACTCAAAACCCATCCGCTCTCCAAATCTAGCGCATTTCGCTCTCAAACAGCGGCAGCCACGGCAGAGGCAGAGGCGGGCAGCTCCGACAAACTACTTCATAAACCTTCAGCATCCCACTTCTCACCCAGCGCGTCCACTTTCACTCTTGCTGCATCCATGCTTCCGCCTGAGTGCCCGCTTGAACATATCCTTCCATTTACACAAGAATCATCCGTCGTTCCTCTTTTACGCACTCTGGCCCCTGAGACCGTTTACATCGAAGAACCTCTCACACTGCCTTCATCCGGCGGGATAGTCTCCACTTTGCTTGAAGGTGGGTGGGTTGGAAACGTAGTTGTTGGACTTATCGGAGATGATGACCAGCTTGCCCAGCTGATGGACAGCGACGACGAGAAGGCCCAAGAGGAGGAGAAAACCAGGAAGGGCGAAGGGAAATGGTGGGGCACAGAGGTACAGGGAAGCATAAGAGGAAGGTTCGGAAATAGGGTGCAGATTGTTGAGGGGTGGGTCCTAATCGAGGATTGGAGAAGGAGGGTGGAGGAGAGATTGTAGACCACAGAGGCCGAGGTAGGTTCTTGTTTTAAAGAAGCGGAAGGGAAAGGTGGCGTGCGCCTACGAGGAGCTGTACAAATCATGAGGAAAGATAATCTTACGAATATACCGCCAAACGAGATGACCAGCGAGAGAAGTAGAGCACTGAATCATGTAAGATATGATATAATAATTCGTTACCGTGCCAAAACCAGGGAGTCCTTGAGCCCTAGTCACGTGTAGGTAGGCAAGAAGGAACCCACAGAACCCAGTTCAACGTTTAAACATACCCCCCCCCCCCGGCGCCTGGGGCATACCCGAGATGTACAAGCCAAGGATGGCCTTGAGCTCTCTCACTCGCCCCCTTACCTCCATCAAGTGCGGGCCTCCTCCTCCATACGCAGCTACGGTAAGTGGGGCGCACCATGTTCTCCCAACCCAATCGCGAACCAAGTTTGTGAAAGATAGTTATGTACAAAAACTACAGGGTATGATACGATAGAAGAAAGAGAAAGAGGGAGAGAAAAGGGCAAGAAGAAGAAGAAGGAAAAAATCAAAAGAAAAAAAAATGAATTGACCATTTTCTCCCGATTATGCACAAAACTCCCGTGATGATGTAGATATAGATGTATCAACGACAGATCCGTTCCCACCGTTTGCCCATGATTATCATGATAAATGAATGAATAAATAAATAAAAATAGTTCCCGATTGCGGACCCTTATCGTCACACAGGGAGGGGGAGGAGGGAAGGGGGGGGGGGAGGTGACGGTTCCGCAAAGGACTCGGCTACCGGTACCCGCTAATAACAGTACGGTAGGTGACTACCCGCGGGGAAGATCTAGATGTCGTTTCCCACGCTCACTCGGACCAAACACGGGTCGATCAGACAAAACTCATTCGGACGCGTCGTAGAGTTTTTCGCAATCATCGTCGAGGTGCCGCGACGGGGCGGGTGCTCTCCTGCGCACGAAGAGGGCGATGATCATCCTCGTCAGGGACAAGACACTATTAAGACGGCGACGGGTAGGTTTTGTCAGAGAGAGAGAGATTTTCATGATAATTTCCCGTTCGCTTCTACTCCCACCTTCTTTTCTTTCCCCAAACTCTCATCTCAACCTGCTTCGTAACCCCAATGCGATCTTCTGGAATTGGAACAAGGGGGTCCCCACCTCAAGTCTACGGCGAGTGCTAGCACAATCTGTGAAGCCGCGCAGGAATTCCTCCCACTCCCGGATCCTTCGGGGAGGACGGCGCAGCGGCCGAAAGTGCCCGTTCCCGCGACGAGCAGTGCCATCCTGCAGACCACAGCTATCCAGAGACCGAGCGATATCGCATCGCCAATGAGGACCTCGTGCACGCTCAGGTTACTCGAGGAGGAGGAAAGACTGAGGACCGCATATAATAATGTGAAACCTGCCTGTAAGTTTTTATAAGATTAGAAGAAGAAAAAATCACCTCAGCCCTGATCAGTACTCGTGCAAACAAAATCATTTCAAGAATGCGGAAGTGAGGAACACTTTCCCACGATGCTGGAAAAAAGGGGAAATAAGATACATATAAAAACTTGATTTTGATTTTGAAATTCTGTAATTAAGATGAAAAAAATATAAACATACTGCGACGCCAGGTAACCAACACATAAAGTCCGAAGGTAATCCGGATCTATCCTTCAGGCCATACCAACCAAGGCAGACCAAGACAACCGCAGCGGAGAGCAGCTGCAAAGCGATAAGGATCCAGTTGTATCTAGGCCACGGACTCGCTCCTCTTGATGCATCTTTCCCCATTGCCGATTTCGCTTCTTTTTTTTTCTTTTTTTTTCCTCTTTCCTCTGGTGGTAAAATGTCACGATACCGACGAGCAACCACCTCCAGCGAAAGGGTAAGGTGAATTGGGGGGAGAAAAGGAAAAAAGAAAAGAAAAAAAAGGCGAGCCCGAATTCGATGAGTGAATACCGAAAACCGAAAGCCCCAACTTCAAGTTTTTTTTCTTCTTCCCCAAAAGTGACCAAGGGAGGGGAAAGAAGGGGTATTTCAAGAGCGCAGTCATGCTCGACCGGAAATGGATGCTATTATACAAGATTCACAAGAGGCTTCCCCAGGCGAAAAAGAAATGAATGTTGTCATGGCCTTCCCACCAACTTTTGTCCGATGCGCAAACAGCGAAGCTTAACGTTGGTTATGGCTTTTGGGGCGAGAAGGGGAGTTGGTGGAGTGTTAGTAGACCTTTTTGGTGGCATGGTGGAGCGAAACCGACCAGTAATCTCTCATCATGGCGTCCTGGAGTATGACAAGAAGCCATGCTCCGGGATGCTCTTCACTAATGGTTCCCTGCCACCTCTCCCTCCTATTCCGCGCATCTCTGTTGTCGTGGGGGCCTAGGGTTAAGCTTCCTGCGGACAGCTGGCAGCGGAAGGCAGGCGGGGTTGTTAAACTTAGCAAGGGTCCGTTTGGTTCTTGGAAGAGAAAGAAAGAGTGAAGCCTTCCATCGAGAGAACACGGATTATCATTATTTTCCCTCTCTTGCAGTACTCCTCTCTTCCCTGGCACATCCTGCCAGTGTGAAAAGCCCATTGTGCGAATCAAAGATAGACTTGGGGGGGAGGAGAAATACTTGGCTCGGTTCCATACGCTGGTAGGCTTCGTTGCCATCCTCGGGTATGGTAGGGCTTACCCTACCGTGTCTGTGATTAATTGTGTTCCCAGCGAGATATTTTAAGCTCCGGAAGAGGGATATAAAAAAACAAAGAAAAAAGGGTAAAATAGGCAATTGGCACCGGCAGCCGGCGAGGTAGGGTATGATCGCACTGTGCTTGTAGAGTATTCGTCCCGGTACTGTGCCGTTAGGGTTGCGGGCCTGGCCCTCTATTTCAAAGGTCGGTTGGGCCCTGAGCTAAACGCCCACTTTTGTACCGGTAGGAGACAACCTTCTATAGAAACCTCCTGTGCTGTGTGCTTCGGCGCTATGCTAGCTAAACTACCCTACCCGTAGTGATATAACATCCGAGTTAAAGCTCTATCTATAGACTATATACTAACCCACCAACCTACAACCCGCCATGATCTATCTCCCTTTTATCTACGATACTCGAGTAATGCATCTTTTATCGCCACATCCGCCCGTTTTTTTCTCTCCACGCAACGACCTTTCCCATTCATCCCACCCGAGAAGGAAATAAAGGAAATAAAAGAAAACAGAAAACAGAGAGTCACTCCGTCTATAATAACCGTTGGCGCCCGCACACCGGCACCGCGACTCCACCCCTAAACACGGTGGTCCAAGGAACTGCAGCTGTTCAAGGATTGATTGCCGCAGGGTTCGATTGTTATCTTCAAAATTTAGTGACACAATGCGGTGGTAGTAGAGAGCGGGCGCTGTATAATTGCACGCATCGTGTACGTACCGTGTACATATTGATGGGGATTGGCAGCAGCGGGGCGCCCATCAACCTCACCCTCCGCCGCCTCCACCATCCATCTCACCGATGACAATTTCACATCCATGATCTCATGACAAGCCCTAGATAGGATTAAAAAACCTGGGTAAGTGAGGAGGTGGGGAACAAAGAAGGGCGCAAAGGATAATGTCAGGGTGTAACTTACGGAGTCAAGAACTACACTTTTTTCTTCTTCTTCCTCCACGGTGTCATACGGTACTGCCAGAGAAAATAACGGAGTGACATCGTGTGATTGCGGAGGTGCAAAGGAGATTTGTCCCCCTTCCCTCCAGTCCACCCACCATGATCCCGGCATGGCCACCGCTCAGATCATTCAAGACAGGTCGCAAGGGAAGGGGGAGAGAGAGGAAGGATGAGACTCTCCGGTTCTCCCAATGGGAATATCCGATACCTGCGAACTTTCCACACCCCCAGGTGGAATAATTGCGTTCAGATCCCATCAACACGAACTGCACGACATCGGCATCCCGAACTGTCCAGGTAGCGATTCTCGATGCGGGGCCACACATGGCAGGAAAGTAGGAGAGGGAGGGAAAGGAGCCCGAGCGGGTCCTTTTTTCGATTTTCCGAAGGGGAGGGAGTTAGAGTTAGGGCTTCCGTCATTGTAAAAGCGAGAGCCAGGCTCGGCAGCACCGCACGAGTGACAATGTCCTGCTCGCTCTCCCGCTCGCTACCGATGAGGATCCGTAATTTAGCGGGATTCGGGGCTTGTAGATAGAGGAAAGGTGGCTATTTTTCCTTTTTTTTCTTCTTTTTTCCCCGTAGCACAAATAGATCAATGTGACAGAAATAAAGGCTGGATTCCAGTGCCTCCGTGGAGCGGTGTCGTGTTGTGTGCGGTGAAGTGAGGTGAGAAAATATCACGCCCCTTGTTTCGCGTGCGGCGTGGATTTCTTTCTTTTTTCTTTTTTTTTTTTCCATCCTCGTCCTCCGTTTTCCGGCTGGATTAGTGTCTTGAGGGAATGGAGGGCGAAGTCAAGCTCCGTGCATGCATCTGCGCTGTGTATGATATGATGCGTGAGCTAAGGTAAGTTAGGTTTTATGCGCGGAACAAGGCCACAACCCCAACCCTAACACGCTTACCGCAAGTGCGAGAGAGGATAGGTGGTGGCAGGTGGTGGAGCTCCGTGTACTCGAGTACCGTATGTATCATACGATATGAATACCGGTACCGTGCTAGACTGCATATTGGTCATCCACGAGTCGTGATATAGTGCTCTCGCCAGGCATTGTTGATGAGGATGGATGACTCGGGGGATCTGATGAATGAATGAACGAACGAACGAATGAATGATATAGGGGGTACATGTACTCGAGTACTACATGTACTGGTACAAGTACGTGTATTTGATACATCCTATATTGTTTGTGCTCCCGTTACAGGTATTGCTTGTCCTCGTACACCCGACGGGAGTGCGAAGTGACATGACAACCTTATCTGTCTTCTTCCTTCTTCCTCTTATTTTCTTTATTTTCTTTATTTTTTTCCTGGGGGTTAGTTTCTGCGTGTCTCCGTTGCATGGCGTAATATAGGGAGTGTGCCTATACGGTAGGGAGCCGCTGGTTCGCATATGCGGTCCCGAGAGTGACTTTAGCCCCTGTTTGTGTACGAGTACTCGTAGGGTACTCGAGTACGGTGCTCGTATACCGGTAGTGCTCACCAACTTGTAAAGTATCCGGACATAAAAGTGCCAGGAACCGTGTTTTACGTCCAAAACAGAGGATACGGTATTGGCACCTCCATTTCCGGATACTTTGCAAATTGGCGAGTACCGTGGTTAGGCACGGTAACTCCGAGTCGCACGGGAGGCAGAAGTGTGCGAAGGACTTGCCCTCGCCCGATCATAACTTGAGAGAATGGAGATGCCTTGATAGTTTGGATTGCGCCCAGCTACCGCTACCCCGTGGCAACCTACGGCATCCTCAGCTCTATTCCTTACGGAGGTGGTGGTTACATCTCACCACCCTATGGTGCCGTTTTCTTTCTTTCCTTCTTTCCTTCCCCCGTCCAGTCGAATTTCCATGGTTCTAGCCTCACTGCGCCGTTAAATGGCATGGGGGGAGGGGTGGGGAGGGTAGGTCGGCTATTTGTTGAATTAAAATTAGGCGGTCTTGTCGCAGTCTTATGGGCCCTCGCGGGCGCTTGGCTAAACGCGCCCCTCACCAGCAACCACGACCACCATGGCTGCCTAACCGTAGCCGCAATTGGCGCCAACATTAATTGCCCTCGAGAGATGGGGAAGAGAGAGGGCCGGGAGGAGGGATTAGGAGCGAGGGGAGAAATTTCCCTGTGCATTTATGATACATGGGCGCAACCCTGGCCAATGGTAACGTTGGCGTTATCTTTTGTTGTCGCTCTCCGCTACGAGGTGACTTTCTACCGGTAGCTTGCTTCGCTACCCGCTGTCCCCCTAGAAGCACAGCCGAATAGGCGCAGCATAACCGCATACCATACCGAAATGGGCGAGTGATGCCGCGTGTCTGTAGGAAGTGTGACAGCTCATAGACGGGATAAATCTTGACGGAGCCTCAAAAAATGGCCGGGGCGGACGAAGCTGAGAAATGGGAACTGGGCCGGAAGGGCGCGTCCATGGAAAACAGCGCGCTTGGCCTCATTGGTAGATGCGTATATCGGGAGTCCACACACACAAGGCTTTAATGCAAAGGGTGGGGAGATTGGGGTCTTTCAAAGGACTGAAGAGTACCTGAGAGCATAATGGTTTGCAGCGGAAGGCCAAGGGTCGAACCGGATATACACCGCACGGAGGGGCTTCCAAAAAAAAAAAAAAAAAAAAAAAGAGTCGAGTTGAGCGGGGAAATGGGGAGCTCCACGCCGCTGTCTGGCCTCGCTGGGCTGGGCTTTCCTGGCCGAAACACGCGGCCGGCGACGTGATCAATAGAAATTGAGAGCGCACAAGTGATTATGCAACAGAATTCAGGCTGGTAGCGCGAGGTGGGTCCGGATGGGGCTAGTTGGGAAGAAGAAGAAAAAAAGAGTTATGGCAGGCGATTTCAGGCCACCCCCGAGCAAGGATCATTCACTTGAACGACTTTACATGGCGTTTCGCTTTTTCCGAGCAGACTGATCAAATAATTTCCCATCGCAATGTACGAGTACCCTCTAGCACGGTGTCTCGTTCTAGATGGAGAACCGCTCGATTGTGACACGCTCTCTTTCAGACTCGCTCTCACAGGGGTAGGAGGGGTCGGGTGTCCACTCTGGAGAGAAATCTGGGCAAGCGACACAGGAGCCTCGAGCTCAAATGCCTCAGTGCCCTAAATAGAAGGTCTACTCATTAAATTTTTTTTATAACATCTCCTACTGGAGTCAAGGGCTGGATGCGCTCAAGCTATTTTACGAGTATATAGAAGCAGGGGGCTGTCCCCTGCATGGCGCGTACGCCAGATTGAGTTTTGTTATTGCTTCAAAGCTAGAGAGAGAGTCTTTACTTAGCCTCTGCGAACTTTGGTCCCTGCTTCTCCTACGAGTAGATGTTGGCAACTCTAGACTCCAGGGTATTATCATCGAGGAGAATGTCGCGGCACATGCCGGGCCATGATCCACAGAATAGCACGTTCGTCCGATCCTCCCAGCAAGGCGAATACGATCCGATCTTGGCGATAGGTTGGGGAAGACCTGAGAGAAGGTAAGGGGACGGAATGGTGAAGCTACTGGTATTCCTTGGGGCGCTTCTGTCAAAGATCAGCCTGCTGCGAATTTCCTGGGAATGTGGGTCCGAAGGTGGTAGCCTGAACGTGCTTGCATGGAATTGCCTATGAGATTCCGCCTCATAATAAGTTTTTAACATTGGTATTTTATTGCAGCTGGAGCCCATGATGCTTCCTCGCCGGGCTCAGCCACCCGGTGACGTCAAGTGATCTCTAGCCCTCAGGCTCTGAGTCAATACATTTGGGATAACGGTATTATATTTTGTAGGGAAACGGTGAGATCTGATCCAATCCAGTGATCACGGCCAACTGGCCAACCGCGGTCCGCGCTGCGGGACTGAGGGCGCGGATGAGGCGATCTTCGTGGTGTCGCTGAGAGGGGAATCGGACAGGACCCGCATCCTTTCCGTGGACAAACCAGGTTTTGGGACTCGAACCTCCATCACCCCTACCCTATGTAGCATCCTACATGATTTCTAACGGTCCAACCCCGCCTCCGGGGCTAGGGGAGCTTGTTCCTCAGCGTTTGACAATAAAATTCACTTTCTCAATGGCCTCAACGGGGCCCAATGCTAATTTAGCGCCATCCTGTCAATCGAATTTTTTGTACTCTCGATCCGAAGCTGTGATGGCTGTGAAGGCTAGCAGGGTTAGTTGGAGAGGAGTTCTGTTGCGGAGGCGGGCCTTGGATGGACGAACTCTTTATGGTCCATGTGTGTGTGTGTGGTGGAGTGTGCGGCTATGAAAAACCATTTCCCCGATTCTGCTCCAAGAGAGAAGGTTAACTTATTATTATCGTTATTATTATTTTTATTTTTATTATTATTTTTATTATGATCGCTATTGTTATTTCCTATCCCTCTAAACGTCTCATGAACGCACGTCAGTGACCGGGTGACCTCCTGGCCAAAGCGTCCGCCAGTAGCTATCCGATGTCCACTTTTTTCTTCTTCTCGGCTACTTTGCATATTACCGACTGTTTCATTTGCTGTGCTATTCTCGATAAATTCTGCACCAAATCTCTATCCGGCGATCATGGAAGGAGAGTGTGGGTAGAGTGTGGTTCATCTGCCCAAGCTGTGAGACAAGAGCCACTTCTGCAAGAATTTAACGAGGATGCATCCGTCTCGGAATATTGATGGGTTAGGGGCCCTCGACGGGATCTACGACTCGAGCACCGGCACTGTCCCTTGGAGGACATTTCTTTATATCCTGTACTCGTAGATTGTCAATTTGAGACCTGAATATTTATATTATTTTTTTCCCCCCAAGTCACCTTGCTATCCCCAACATGGATTCCATCAAAGGATTATGATATGTCGTTGCACTAGCAACTTGGCTCCGCAAGACACCACCCGGTAGTAGAAGTGATGCATAGCATGTTGGCCATGTACGAGTAGCAGAGATGTAGAAAATACTTACCTCCCTCCCCCCCCCCTCCCAAAGAGGTTTTCGCCTCCGTTTGTATTTTACCGCACATACATGTGAAATTAATTCAAGAGACAAGTTGCTATGGAGAGGGAGGTGGGGGGGGGGGGAGGGGAAGTGGTAGTAACCCTTGCAGGTTCGTAGAGACTTTATCAGCAATTTCCATTACGATCTCCCAGCCACTATCTTGCTCAATCGATTAGCGGAAGGCAGGTCCTTTTCCTTTTCTTTTTTTCTTCTATCCCTCTCGCTCTCTTTTCAACCTGAACTAGAAAGTTTCGAGTCGACACCGAGAGACAGTCAGAGAAACCGATCCTCTAGGGGGGAAGGAAACGGAAAAGGCAACTGATTAGGCCGGGCGGTATCGCGGGCACTGTATTTAGAGTATCAGCCTCCCTTTTGTGTTATGATCTTCTAGTTGGGGCTTGTTTTATAAGAGCGTCTGTTCCCGCTATTGAACCAGTTTTACTTCCTACCAAATCCAAACCACCAAAAGAAAAGAAGAGGGAAAAAAAAAGAAAAATACTTATTGACTCCAACAACCCAACACAGCATAGATTGGAATTTGCGTCAAATGACAACCTTATATCTAGGCCTCGAGGAGAACATACTTTCAAGCTCTCCAAACCTTCGTTGCTACTCTATTTCCTCCGCGTCTTCTGGGCCCTCCTGCTCCACCACGCAGAACCACCCTTCCTCCTACAGAACGTTAACCCCTAAATCGGACACTACATCACCTATGAGCTATTCAGCAAAGCCCTTCGAGGATGGCTTCCTCGGTCTACGCGAGCGCAAGACCCACAACGGCCAGTCCATCGCACCTAACCTCCTCTCATTAAAAGTTGAGGGTACCCACCGGGCACCGGACCCACCCCTAGAACCCGCCTTCCACCACTCTCAACACATCGAAGACATCCTGCAGCAGAACTTCAGCACCCAGAACTACGAGCAATCCTATCCACGAATCACCAACTACCAGGAATACGCCCCGCAACGGTACTCGTCGAATAGCCTGTCCCCGAGTTCCAGTAATGGCGACTGCCTCTACACCACCCACAACCGCATGTTCGACTGCTCCCAGTCATTCGCGTCCTGGGGACATGAGTCGAATTCGAGGGAGGCATGCGCTGCAGTCGCGGCTTTGGAACTCCTGATGCCCAAGGTGGGTATAGGCTCTGAGGGGGAGGAGGATGTGGATATGTCGGACAGGGACTCGACTGGGTCCAGTTCTGCGCCTGCAGTTGCGAGAAGGAAGCGACGCGCACCCCACCCACTTGTCATAAGCTCGAGGGACAAGCCTCATGTTTGCTCCGTGGGGGACTGTGAGAGCCGATTCAAGAGGCCTGAGCATTTGAGGAGGCATGAGAAGACGCACACTGGCGAGAGACCCTTCTCGTGCACCATCTGTGGGAGGAGGTTTGGCAGGAACGACAACCTTCAGACTCACAAAAAGACGCATATGAAGATGACTGGGCGTAATGAGTACATACCTGGGCTGGCCTAAGGTTTTCGTATCTCTCTCTTTCCTTAACCTCTACCTTGTTCTCTAGTTCTTTAGCTCGTTGTCTGGCTGTCTGGATGTACTCTCTTGACTGGTCTCTTTTGTATTTTTTTATTTTTTTTCCCTCTTCCCCTTCTTTGACTTCTCTCGCCTCTATTTCATCGGGGCCTTTACTATGGGTTATTAGTTTTAAATCTTGGGTTTATTTTTATCTACTGGTTTCTGGGTTATCTCTTTTGTCACTTCCTCACCTATCGTATCATTTATAGTACTACCCTTCTCTCACTCTCACGTATCGACACCTCTTATTCCTAATTGTACATGAAGCATACATATGGTCGTTCTCAAAATGGGAACGACAGAAGGGGGAACGGGTAAAAAAAGGAAATGAAGGACATCATCATCATCATCATCATCATCATCATCATCATCATCATCATCAGAGGGGGAGGGATTGTAGAACAGACAGGAAGGGAAACGGGTTTCCTCAGGGGTTTTTTTTTTCCCACGCATCTCATGTCCTTTTTTTGACGGCTTCAACATCCTAAAGGAGTTTTATTTATGTTATCCACGTTTCGATTCCTATTATTTCCATTTGGGTTGCCCCGAGGGGTGGAGGGTATCCTCCTTTTCTTACACTCTTCCTGTTTGTTTGTCTTTCGGTATTGCTTACTCGCCATCTTACTATAACAAAAGATGAGCGAGTGACTGTGTACTTCAGTATCGTAGAAGTTCCTTTTTTTTTAAAAAACAAAAGAAAAAAAAACCCTCGGGATTCACACATAAGCAAATCGGGGCGAACTCATGTAAGAAAAGAAAAGGGAAGAAAAGAAGAAAAAAAAGACCGTTTTTTCTATCCCATAACGAAGTACGATACTGGTTAAAGCACATCACTACATTTCCCTCCTATGATGAATGAACGGAAAGCCATCCTCCTCCTTCCCACAGCCTTCCCTTCCCTTCCCTTCCCTTCCCTCATCCCTTCTACCCTCTCCGCCATTTTCTTTTTCCCTTTCTTTCCCAACTACTACCACACCCACCAGGCAATATACCTTACACACAGACACACACCTCCTTCGTTTCCCATACTGGAATGAATACATACCATTGGCTCCCGAAATTATAACCTATTCTGCTTCCTCCTCCTCCTCCTCCTTCTTGCCCTGCTACTCGAGTACTGAGGTAGGCAGGATTTCACTATACACTACTTACTGATAGCGTACTAGACCGGAATAAATAAAATCAGAAGAGAGAAAAAAATTCCAATTTCTCATTTCGTTTTCCTTGCATAACTCCTCCCCTCCCTCCCTCCCTCCCTCCCACCATCCATCCATCCATCCATCCATCCATCCGTCAATCCATCCCCCGATCCATCCAAAACATATTTCCCCAGGAACTGAGGGCGTGTCATATCACATCATAAACCCACTGGTACTCCTACCACCACCTATACAAAACCATACAAAAACAAGACAAACAGACCAACCACCTTCACCCGCTGCCTACCTCCATCCCACCCATCCCATTCCCCTACAGCCAAACATCTGTACAACGAGGCTAAACCACCAATCAAACAACCCCCCCCCAAAAAAAACCCCCCAACCGAGAAGCATGATACTAACTTAAACCCCCGGAGAAAAGGAGAAGCGAGTCAATACAAAAACAAAGGAAAAACAAACCGCCTCCGTACCCCCCCCCCCCCCCCCACCCACCTCTTCCTCCTCCACTCCACGGCAGATTACTTCCATCAATTAAGATCTCCATGTCTGATCTCCGAACCACATATTTCATAACGGGCACAAACACAACGTCTATCATACAAGCACGATGCTATTCCCCGGAACAAGCAAGCAGAGACAAACAAGCGTTGGAAGATGAAAAAAAAGAAAAAGAGAGTACCGTATCGTATGATACGTACCCCTACAACAGCAAGCGAAGATGGACGAATCCGTGTGCCGCCGACACGGGCGAGACATTCGTATAGGGGGTTACGAGCGGTCCAGGCCTTTATGGAACTTGAGACGTCCATATTTCCTTCCTTCCTTGCTGGCATAATAATATTGTAACATACCCCATCCTTATTTCCCAACTACCCCTCCCTCCCTCCCCTCCCCTCCCCTCCCCGAACTTGTGGCGCGGCGTGGTGGACACGATACACGGGGAAGTAGGCAAGAAACGTGAATATCGCAGCCAACTAAAAAATCCGCCATCACATCACATCATATCACTCGAGCCCCCTAGGTGATTCAAGATTCTCCGGCCCGAAACGAAACAATTCGCCATAACCACACACCCATATCATAGCAAGTGACTTATGGTGTAGTGCCGATGGGTACGGCATGAGTGGTGTGCGCGAATAATATAATTTATTCTCTCCATCATGTGAATACCGAGCCAACCGGCCAGCCAGAGGGAGAGAACTATGATACACTACGAGTACGAGTACCATAATGACAAGATCGGATGGCACCAGAAATGAGTGTGGCAGGCAGATCGAGGGACAAGACAGGACTGCAGCATTCCCCACCCCACCCCATCCCCACCGCACCCCATCCCCACCGCACCCCATCCCCACCGGATCTCGGGCAGTTCTAACATATCACTTGTAAATCGGAGTATCGCAGCCGAGGCTCGGCAATTAGTCACACACAACTTGGCCCGAACACCACCGACCGACCGATGGGAAAGGGAGCACGGTATAATCAGTGAACCCATTCATTCATTCATCTATTTATCTAGTATCATACCACGGAAGGCGAAAGTGACCGGCTGGCGCGATTGGCATTCGTCAAGTCGTATAGTTGGAAACTATAATAACCGGTATGGTATGGTAGGTAGGTACTGTAGGGCCTCGTACATGTTGGGGAGACTGACTTGAGCTATCGCTACGATACGATACCTAATTTACGCACCTCCCATCCGCTCGAGTTAAAGTGGAAGATTTAAACCACGAGTGCCCGGAAAAAAAAGAAATGGATAAATTATGATACAGAAATTTCAACCAAACGTTACGATATACAAAATCAACTTTTTCTTTTTTTTTTTCCCCCAAGCGGGCGTCATGACCACTCACTCGTGGCGATCGGGGGGCAAAAAGCAACCTTTTTTATTTTATTTTATTTTTTATTTTGGAAACGGGGCTAAGACTAAAGCCCTCATTCTTCCCCACCCGCCCCAGATGGGAGGAACGAAGAGTGGAGGGGGAGGGGGAGGGGAAAAAGCGTTTGACTAACTGTGCTGGTGATAGTGAAGAGCATGTGGTGGCTGGCGGTGGGACTCGTAGTGAATGGCGACAAGGAATAGGTTGCGCAGCATCATAATGCTCATAGCGGCGGGAACGAGGCAATGCATGAGGATGGTGGGTGTGTTGGAAGGGTGATGCTTGTGCCGAAGGATGGCTGTGATGAGGTGGCCGTCTGGTCGTCCACCCATGAGTGAGTGAGTGAGTGAGTGAGTGAGAGAAAGAGAGAGGAGGGGGGAAGGGTTTCTGAATCGGTGTGTCCTGATGATTCGTCTACGATAGTGACTATCGGCGGTGCTATACCGGTACTGGGACTCTGTCGTTTGTTTGAATTCACAGGGGTTCGCTCCTTTTCCCCGAACCCGTTTGGTTGCTGACTCGACGCTAACTATGCCGTTTGTGCTCGTTTTTCTGCGTGGCGGCTTGCCAAATCGACCCTTCCAGCCATCCAAATCTCCCGAGAAACCGCTCTATTTTTGTACGAGTGCTCGTATACTCGAGTAACTTAGTGGCTCGAGCAGTAATAAGGTTACAGGCCGTGAGAGTTTGAACCACCGCATAGTATTACTATTGCACTAGTAGCGATTCGCCACATCTGTATCATACAAGTAAAATATCATGCATACAAAGCCGACGTCTTGTCCCTATTATCACACAACAGTATCATATTATGCTTGTTTGACAGTTCATTAAAAAAAAATTGAACTTTCTCCTGCGCTAGTGCGGAGCTAGTCTCCGAGGCGCATCTGTCAGGAGGAGTGTCGGTCCATTGATTCACGAGAATGCACGAGCAATACTCGTATTTATCAAGTCCTACCGAAGCATACCATCGGCATCAAGGCTTGATGACTCGAGCATGCGCATTGCAATTCGATTTTTTTATTTTATTTTCATTCTCCCTCATGTTTTCCGTCTATTGTTCCTTGAGTTGGTTTAGAAGAAAATTTTGCCTCTTTTCGCGGCCTGGCCTCCGGATGGGTGTATGAAAGTTAATAACTTGTATGTTTCGTAAGGCAGCGCGACATGCGGTGCTCGAGCGCAGTATTCACTCGTTCACATGATCGACATCTGCTGGAGGCGGCCAAGGTCCGTGAGCTGGGTGGTGGAGAAAGTTTGTGCCTTGGGACGACACCCCCTCCGGTGCCAACCGGAGTCATATGATTCCAACATTGCTGAAAGACCGATGTACAGTACATAGCGACGTACCGTATGCGATACAAATTAAAACTGATGCATTGATCCAACACTGATCTATGAAATAGGGACCTCGCCATCTCGCACCCAGAGCCAAATCCTGGCAAACTAGTTGGCCCAGAACCACATTTGCCTCGCATCCAGAGTCCCGCCGCAAAGTCTCGATTTCCATCTGGGGATTGTTAACGCCATCCAAAATCTACGGTGGATAACGCTTGCATGCCACGGTGAATGATGGCCCCCCCAATAAAGACTGCTACATCCTCCTACCTCGAGAGCCAGCGAGCGCCTCATCCCTTCTCCACGCCCTCAAGTCCTTCGTTCCCATAAACCCCTCCCCTCCTTCAGCTCTCCGATCCCATCCACCTAACCTGACAACAACTGCCGTCGCGTTGTCACCCTCCGTAGTAACCTCTTCAGCGAATTCAACCAGTTCCTTAGCCCCCTCGTCCGGGGTTCCGCATTCCTTCACAATGTCGACAATCTCTTGGTCTGTCAAGATTCCACTAATCCCATCACTCATGAGGACTACGAATGCGTATTCGGAAGGCTCAAGTTCGCGTCGATAAACTTCAGGTTCGGCTGACACCCCAAGGCGTTTTTGGGAGACGTCCCCAAAAGACCGAGTGTTTGCAAGAACCCCGAAGCGTTCTTCACCGAAAGAATCCGAAACAAAAGCAGTCGCATAACGACGAAGCCTCCTCGACTCGGTGGGCGACGAGGGATGATGGTTCGTCGTTAAAGGGAGAGCAAGCCCTGTAGAGGTCGAGGAAAGGAGGATGCGAGTGTCGCCAATGTGCGCAGTTATGAGTGTTGCAGAAGTTTTAGGGTCCCAGAAGGGGGTTGCGGTACTAGATTAGATTAGAAATAACTCCAAGGCCTCGAAAGACAAGTCGCAAGGAGTAGTTCATACGGAGTGGATACTAGCGCTATAGAAGCAGTTGATCCGCCTTTGAAATGGGTGGACTTTTTCAGAGCCCCCTCTTGGGGAGCGCTCTCGCCGGCAATAAACCATGGCCTGGCCCGTGTGATGAAGTCCATGTCGGCTTGCAGGAATGCGTATGTTAAAAGAGCCTCCATCTCCCCAGCCTCTCCCCTTCCTCCAAAATCTGGCTTAAACCTTCTGAAGTACCCACCTACTACGTCTTTCCAGGCAGAAACCAATTGGGCTTGCGTAGCAACCTTTTGCTCTTCACCCCCAGAAAAAATCCTAGCACTTTGCTCAATATACGCATGTAGGTAGTCTTTGACAAAAGACGAGCAATCCTCTCCACCGTGGCCATCAAACACCCCGAAATAAAAGACAGAGGGATCGGTCGGCGCAGAATCAGGTGAAAGCGTGAAGGGCGGAATGTCTATGACCCCAGCTTGGTACCAGTCTTCGTTATAGGGCCGATTTCCACGGGATCTAGATGCCCCAAAGTGTTGCTTCGCAGAATGAAGTGGGATACGGACTACTGTATCATGAAGTTCACTACATGAATGTTAGTGATGAGTTCATAATATGAGTGATATTTTGTGATCCCTCGACTGAACGACAAAATCCGGGGCCACGGAACTGGGAAATAACTTTGAGATTTTGGGGGTCGCCCAAAACGCCGTCCAAAGCCACATAAATTCCTATTCGAACAATCGTGGATTAAGGAAAAATCTTAACCAGCACTAACCTAGTTTTAGATGAACGCTCAGGCTCGACTACTGCCCTGGGCAAATGTGTAGTAAAATAATTGTGGAACATACGCTCCCCTCCCCCTCTTCTAGGGCAACCATGGAGTAGCGGTTCCCCCTTAGCCCTGAATATTGAGGGAGGCTTTGGCTTTCTTGAACCATGCCGCGCTACGGAGTGGTAAAACGAATAGCCACATATAGGACGACGCGGAGGGCTATAGGGGCAACCGGATGGGACTCTTGAGGAAGGATCCGTGCAGAATCTTGATATAAAGGCTGTTGAATAAGGATTGAAGTAAGTTTGTGAGGCTAGAAGGCGGTTTCTCTAACCGATCGTAAAAATTAAAAAAAACTTACCGTACGTATCTTTTAAGGCCCAGATACCCCGTGGGGTAAATAACGATCTTCCCATGTCACCCCGCCACAAATAAAAATTGGCAGCGATGCCAAATTTTTGATCTATACTGCTATCGAAAAGGTCCTTCTGCTAGCGAGGCAATGGGGGGCTTGTTGGAGGTGTCGGATCTCTCTCTCCCCCGGCGAAGGCTTGGGTATTCTAAAGAAGTACTCGTGTATCCCCTGAGTTATAATCCGACAAAAACACTCAGGTTTGATTAGAGGTGGGGCGTGCGTTATTTGTAGGCTGCACAGGAGACCCGGAAATGTGGGGACTCAAGTAACCAGGCTCCTGAGATTACCGAGTAGAGTTGAGGTCCTTAAAGTCCGACGGTGGGGCTTCAGTATTAGAAGATGGAGGCGATGTTTGCCCCATTCACTCCCCTCGTTTATCGTTTGTGCCTGGGCATGCACGATGCCGCGAGAAATCGGAGGGACCCGAGATTTTCGTGTAGGTTTGAGGTGACACAGCCACAGATTCTGCCTCATTTTTTTCTCTTTCCCCCTCCTTCTTTTTCTCTCTCTTTTAGCCTGAGGCTCTAAGCCAACAAACTCCGGTATGTTGGTCACGGCATATATCAGCTCCGAACACCAGCGTTTTAAGTATAACCGTACGTTAATTCCCATGCATGCTCTTGATGGTATTCTGTGCACAGAACCAACGGCTTAGCACTGCATTGCGACCATTGACCAATCTCGCGTAGTGCTGGGAAACGAGGAATGAGGCTCACGAAGGACTTCCTGAATGTTGCTCCTGAAAAGTAATGCCGCACTGCACCATCCCATTTCTACAGCGTTAGACCACCATAGGCAGTAGACTAGCTGATAGGGTGCCGGGCACGCAGGATATGGTAGCGAGCTGTGCGAGTGGGGACTCCCACCACACCGGTTCAGCGCGATTCAAACAGGAGATTCGTAGCTCATGGACCAAGGACAGGGGAAATTAGCTGCGGCACTGGTACTTGTACTGGCTCTGGGGTTTGGTGGTCCAGAGACAGTTCAAGTTGGCACGGTGTGGAGTTCGATTCTCGCAAATCTCATGGGTATCCGGGCATCTTAAAGCCAAGGCCACCAAAAGTGCAGATCCTTGACGCCGAGGTGTCCGGATACCTTTGAAATCCAAGAGTTGAAGGCTTGAAGTTAGACTACTGTGGAGGCCTTGTATGGGAGCTGCCACCCTGGGTGTCCGACATATGGTAGAAGGAGAGGAGCGAACACTAGCATTGAAAAATTTTCAAGCTAACAGGAATCCACACTCTGGAACCCAAACTAACATCTTCACCTTTCCCTTGGCCGCACTACAGTAGTTTTTTGTCCATGGACTTGGTCAAACCAGCAAGGAAATCACATCGCGAACCAAAAGCCCCCACCACGTGCCGCTACCACGGCGAACCCGCGCCGTGGGACCCCCCCCCCAACGAGTCAGCGTTCTTCGTTCATGTCGGGCACGATATCTCCTCCAAAGGGAGGCGGGGTGGTACTCGGAACCCTATCAACCGGTCCAACGCGAGTGCTGCGCTCTACAATACCCGAGTACTGTACAGCACAGTACGGGTACAGCGTCTACCGTACCATGCCGGTATGGCACGCATCTTCGCCAAGAATACCTCCGCAAGTTGAAGATTTGGCAAGGACTCCGGCAGAATATCGGCTAACGGAGGTATTCTTGGCAAGGACGCGTAGGCACTGTATGGTCTGTCCCGCATTTTCATGGTATGTAGGAGCCTACGAGTACGATGCCCCACTATCAAAGACCGAGTGACCGGAGCTCCGGTGCACTCCTCGGACAATTTCTGCGTACCGTTACCGAACCCGAGATGCGAAGAGGGTGTAGGTGCCTAACTCGGATATAATCACAAAGGGCCAGTCACATTGAAGGTGCGAAGATGGTGCTTGGTATGATTCTGTGGGAAGCGGTAGAAACCTCTCTGAGCAACAGTAAAAACTCGTTCTATCACGAGAGGCAGGCAGCACCCATATCCCTCCGCATAAAACCGTGTAATACGGTTCGGCACTTGCGGCATACCGGTAGGGTGCGAAAGGCGAACTCCCATCGCCGGGGGCAGCTGCATCACCCCGCAGAATTGGCGGGGATGCCCCTGGGTTGAACACTCGAGCACCAGTACCGGTATGGACAGGCGAGTGGTAATTCGGCAGCGCGCTAACGCCCAATTTGGTGCGTGGGAATCTGATATGTACTCGTGCGGCCGAGTTGGGGTAGGACATCTGCCGTAAGGTGGCAATTCCCATGCAAAGTGCCCAACCTCAGCTCGACCGCGCTACGATAGCACTGTGCAGGTTCATAACCTGAAAGGGCAAAAATGTAACGACCTGGAAGATCTAATCAGATCTGTTGTGCTCTTCTCGTCCTTCCATAGTGCCGGTGCCGTACCCTATCCCCCCTCCTGCCCACCGACAGCGGAACCCATCATATCATATCTTTCCCGGAAGGCCGGGAGTAATGGCAGAAGGGGCGGGGGGAAGGAGGAGCGAGGGGGGGAAAAACAGAGTCGACACCTCTGGCCCTGCGGGAAATACCGGTACTCGAGTGCCTGAGTACTCGTACAGAGGAAAGCTTCCTGCGAGATCTCCGCATTATCTGGAGATGGATGCTACCGGTATCGGGCTGCAGGCGTGAGACCGGCTGTTGGTACTGTACGAGTAGTCTGCAAATGGGGCGGACCATCACTAGCTTCCTCGAGATGTCACGGAGCGCGGGCCAAGTGCTCCGGTACGACAGCATGACACAGCACACCAGCGTTCATCCACCAATGGCAAGGAGTGGGCATGATAACCACTACGGTACCGGTACCGCTGTACGAGACCTCCGATTCTTCTCCATGTCTGAGTAGGATGGAGCGCAGTCGGGCACCGGCGTACTGGGGTCAGGAGGTTTGTTGAAGAGCGAGGGTGAATGTGTTCTTATTTGTAACATCGTGTGGCAATAATTTTGGGTCGGGGGCTGCCAGCGCCCTCTTTGTTATAAAATGTGCTGCGAACTCAACTTTAGGTTACCGCTTGGTGCACGTTTGGTCCCCGGGGCTCGGTATGAGACGGTATCACATACCGGTAGTATGAGCTCCCCCACACCACCACCAGACCATCACCACCACCACCACCACCACCACCAACTCTTGTGGGAGCAGCAGGTAGTCTAGGTCTAACAATGCATCCCGGTGTCGAGTCCAAGCATACTCGTAGCACGCATCCAGACACCACGGCGGTACCGTACTCGGGTACGATATGCCGGTATCACGGAAAATATGCGGTAAAGTTTATCAGTGCGGGATTGAAGCTTAAATTACTTGATCTGTATGGTGCGACCCGTCGAACCTTTCCTAGCTTCCAAAGGTCACCATCTTCGCTGGCTACGGGTATATAACCAGAGCAAGCGTCAGCGTCGCCATTTCGCTCGCAAACCCCAAAACTTCCTTTGTCATCCATCACCGGCTTTTACCCCTGGGGAAGCGATTCCTTCATTCTCGAACCCTTTTTTCTTCGGGCCTTCCTCGGCTCCTCGTGTGGTGCTGACTTCCTTTTCTTCCTCTTTCATTCGTTCCTCCCCTTTCCACCCCTATGGAAGCACGAAAGGGGACGAAAGAACGCACGCATCTCAAATTAAAGTCCATACCGGTACTTGAGTGTCGGCTCTCGTAGACTAAACGAGGGCCTCCACCTCTTCCCCCCTCGATCCGGTTAACCCGTCGCTCTCCCGTACGGTACTTTATACCCGCGCAGGCCCCCACGAATCATTCGAGCCCCCCCAAACTTACCTACCATAGCCAGCCGGCTTGTCATCAACCAACCAACCAGACATCAACTCAAAATGAATTACACAGAAAATCCCCTCCGCTTTCCCTCCGGACCTCCCCCGCTCTCACCACCGGGTTCATCCCCCTCTTCCACATTTCAAGGCTTCTTCAACTTTGCACCGCCCTTCCCCTCAGCCACGCCTTTCGGGGAAACATCAGCTTCACCTCCCCGATCGCAGGAACTCCAGCAGCAGCAGCAGCAAGCTCTACCCATCCCGCAGTCTCGTCAAATACATAGGAACCGAATCTCATACTCCTGTCATGCTTGCCGTAGGCGCAAAGTCAAGTGCGATCGCCAACATCCCATTTGCGGGAATTGTAGTAGGACATCCGACGTTTGCCTCTACGACGACCATAGCAACAAGAAGAAGGGATCCAGGAGCGGTGTCCAACAGCCTCAGAGCAGCACGAACCCACTGCGGACGAAACGTCAGAGGACCGGAGAAGACTCCGAAGACGCGGAAACAAGTGAAGACTACTCAGCAGCGGGAATCACGGCCACCATCAATGGCCCCGAATTCACGTCTTCCAGCCCGGGGAGGCCGGAAGACTTGGAGGCTCGGATGAACAAACTCGCCGAGGTCGTCGATAAGTGGTACAAGGATGCGTATGGTCGAGGGATCATACCGCCTGTGGCGCGACAGCAGGCTGCCAGCGCTGGAGCTAACGGCCCCGACACAAGGAGCACATTTAAGGGGACCTTGGGGACAGTTCCGGCGCCCGAAAGCCTCGTTCCCCAGGAGCAGGGTATCCTGGACAACATGAGAAAACTCGCTCACTCGATCGGTGGTCCTAGGAGTTCCCCGGGCCCTTCGGTCTCGTGCTCCTCCGTATCTTCGCCCCATTCACTATGCTCACAAAACACTGTCACAACACCTGGGAGTAGTGCTAGCGGGAATCCCCAGCAAGCCCCCGCAGTTGAAAATACAGGTGGAGCAACACATTCCCCCGAGAAACTGACGAGGGGCCAGCTCGCTATGAAGCTGCTGGACGAAGAAATTGAGGCTGCAAGAGCGAAAGGCGGCATAAGCGACAGTATAGATGATCTAGGATTAGGCCATTTGAGTATCCAGGGTCGTGGGAGGAGTCGATATGTTGGCAGCAGCTTTTGGGCCTCCATAAGCAATGAGGTAACACAACACAAGCAATCCTAGTAGCGTTTCCTCCCTTTGCATAGATCGTTCACTAATGGTCAACCCAAGATCGCCGAGCTTAATGAGGTTTTGCGTGCCAACGAGCCGCCCAACACGAGATGTCCCGGCGGAAGACCGGCAGAAGAGATGATTAATCTTCTGGAGAAACCTCGAAGCTCCACTGCTTCCGAGGCCACTTCCAAATCGACCGCATCAGGCGGAACGGTAGCAGGTGCGCCAAACTTTTGTGGGCTATCTCAGTTTGATAAATCTTCCCTTCTACAATTTGAACCTCGCGAAAGCGGAGAGAATCCAGTTGAGATCATACCTCTAATCCTAAGGGACCTTCCGGACAAGCCTGTGTGCGATATTATGTACAAGGCCTTTTTGAATGGAGTACACCCCATAATGCCCCTTATCCACGTTCCGACATTTGCAAAAGAATATAACGCTTTCTGGGCATGGTTCCCAAACAATATCCGCTCCATTCCAGATCCAGCACTCACCGAAAACCATGGGTTTTTCCCATTACTTTTGTCAGTCCTCTACGCAGGATCGATGTCGCTGCCTGCCAAGGTCGTTGGAAAACTTCTCCCTGGCCAAACGAAGATGCAGGTGAACAAAAACCTCTATTCGGGATCAATGCATGCTTTATCGGCCTCTTGTTTCCCTAGAACTCCGACTATCAATTCGCTCATCGCTTTTCTCATCACCCAGACGTGTCTCATCCGGGAAGAAGAGCCATTGACCTCTTGCTCGTTTATTGGCATGGCTATGCGTGTTGCGCAGTCTATGGGGCTCCATCGCGACGGCAGCCTGTTTGGCTTGAACGAGATTGAATGCGAGGTTCGTCGGCGTGTCTGGTGGCACATTGTTTATCTGGATGTTCAGGGAGCTATCGCAACCGGACTTCCACCACTGGGGGGGAGTGGGGAAGGACTGTTTGACACAAAGATGGTTAGTGAGGTTAGGGATGAATATATTGGACTTACGCCTGAGGAACGTAGGAAGGCTACAGAAGCCGCAGCCGTGGCTGCCGTTACCGCTGCGGCGGGGCCGCAGACGGTGGGGTGTCGTATGGCCCATACCTGCAGGGCGTTTCTGGATGAACACCCAAATAGCCCTGCAATGATTCTCGCTGCCGGCAGGTATGACGCGACGATTGTCCTAAGAAAGGTTATCATTCAGCTTTTCTCGACAAGGCCGCCGCGGAAGGCAGATCTTTTGGAAATGGGAGGAGCAATTTTCGAACTGAAGCTTAGACTAGAGGATCGAATCGCGAGGATCCCAGCTAGGGGAATACCAGAAATGGGGTTCACTCCTCCTCACGACCCCGAGTTTTATGAGCTTATAGGGCACGATGAAAGCCTTTTTGATACTGAAAAGGCAATTGTTTTTAATGGCTGGGCTAGGATCATGTTGAGTATGTTTGCGGATAGAACCTTCGGCGTCTTCTACCAATCATTTTTGAAGAGTTCCAAGAGCAAACTGTGGGATCATGCTAGACACTGGTAGGGTCTAATTCCTAATTGAGATGAACATGGCTAAAGAGTAGGTAGTGCGTTGCATTTTTGCATCTCTTTCCTCCAAAAGTTTGTACATGTTTCGAAAAACCCACTCTTCCAACCATATCAGTGGTTCTGTCCTGGCACCTTTCAACCCCTTCATGCTACCATGTTATTGCTTATAGATCTCCACGAAAGGCCCCACAGTGCTGAAGCTCCGCAGAGCCGGAGGTTTGTGGACGAAATATTTGCCCTCTTTGGCGAAGATGGGAACTCTTTATTAGATGCGGCTGGGGGTAATCGACCGCTCTTGGAGGGAGGGAGCTTGACATGGAAAATGTTGGCCAGGTTGAGAAAGAAAGCCTACGAGAGGGCCGGTATAAAAATCCGTAAGCCTGCAGAGAGAGGAGAGGAAGAGGGCACAGCAACGCCAACCGCTCCTGCAAAGACGAGGGGTATATCGGAGCGCAATCGACCCATGAATGTGGACACATGTGCGGTTCCTGTCGCCAATGGCCCAGGAGGAAGGTCCCCCGGGTCCAACGTATTACCGCCCGTCGATGTACCAACGGGTGGGTTCGAAGAAATGTTGTTCATAACGGATAACATCGTCACTGGGACCGGGCGATACAAAGACAGTACGGAGGCTGCAATGAAGATTTGGGAGGCGATGGCTGCTGCGGGCATCGCTGTAGACAACGATTCTCCTATGGATCCTGGTATGCCGACACCGCCTCTGATGGAAGCGCCTACGGGGGAACTGCCTATGGGTATTCCTGCTGGCGATGTGGCCGGGATTGGGGTAGACGATGCTATGGATTTTGACTGGGAAGAATGGGATGCTGTGTTTGGAAGGTTCACCGCGATTGAGGGGGTTTCAAGTGATATGCCATTGCAGCGAGGACCTGGGTAGTGCCCTTTTTTATACATATATCATATATTTTTGTGTTTGTTGTTTATTTTGAAAATACGCCGTTGTTCGGGTCATGTGAATTGGACTTTTGGTGTTTTCATTCAGGTTTCGGAGAGGTGTCATGGTCTTGATTTCACGGCGCCCAGCTCGTGCGGGAGGGATATGTATTGCAACTTAATTTTAGGTTTTGAGAGTTATCACAGCTTTGCTATCGTAGTTTCACGTTGTGGTCCGATCCCACTGGTTGATTATCATTCGCCCGTCCGAATATAAGCTTTTGTGGCATGGGGTTTAACCGGGGGCGCGTGGTTCTTCTATGATACAAACGGAACATTCCGTTGAACTTTCGGTCCGTAGGTTGTCTGCCGAGCCGCATCAAGTCGAAAATAAAGCTAGCGTGCACAGACCAACAAGCAGACCCTGCCATAGCGGCATCATATCTCTCCTCCCCCCCCCACTATCGCTTCACTTCTCTAAAACCCCCCCCCCCTTTTTTTTTTTCACAAAGGGGAGTTCGCTCTTCATAAATAGCATCCCTGATGTCGTCCTCGATTGTTGGCAGCCGTGAATTGCCGTCGTCCCAGTACGATCTTTCAACATACTGGGGCAGAGTGAGGCACTCTGCTGATATCGCGGATCCTCGGTGCGCGACACTTGGCTTCTGTAGTGGGAAATAGTGCTAACATACCACCCTGTCAGCACTCTTTTAACCTCCCGAAAGGCCCTCGGTGCTCACACGGCCCTCCTGGGGAAATACAAGCGCGGTGAGATCCCCCCACGGATGACCCCCGAACTCTGGCACGCAAAGAAGGTGGTGGACGCAACCTTACACCCGGACACCGGAAAGCCCGTCTTCTTCCCCTTCCGCATGTCCTGCTTCGTCTTCTCGAACCTGGTCGTCACGGCTGGCATGCTCACGCCGAACCTGACCACCCGCGGGGTCCTTGGCTGGCAGATCGCCAACCAGACCCTCAATGTTCTCATCAACACCTCCAACGCGAACAAGTCGTCACCGCTGAGCAGCGGCCAGCTCGCGGCCAGCTTCCTCCTCGCCGTGAGCGCTTCCTGCGGCGTCGCTGTGGGGCTGGGAAAGGTGGTGCAGAAGGTGAGCCTTAAGCCCAAAGCCAAGATGATCCTCGGTAGACTCGTCCCTTTCGCGGCCGTCGCGACGGCAGGCGTGATGAACGTGTGCTTGATGCGTGGCGGCGAGATTGAGAAGGGAATCGACGTCTACCCCGTCAGCGACGACGGTGGGAAGAAGGAAAGTTTGGGAAAGAGCCGAAAAGCCGCAATATTCGCGGTTGGCGAGACGGCTATTAGCAGAGTTCTCAATGCTACGCCTATCATGGTCATCCCCCCATTGTTACTGGTCAGGCTGACGGCTATGGGGTGGCTGGGGAGTAGGCCAAAGTTCGTTATGCCTATCAATTGTGGTATGTTATCACCCCACTCCAAAGGTAGCGGTAGCAGTGGTTGGGTTTAGCTCACGGGCACCAAACCAGGGCTCATATTTGCTACCTCCATCTTTGCCTTGCCTTTGGCGCTAGGAGCCTTCCCGCAGCGACAGGCTATAAAGGCGGAACTGTTAGAACCTCACTTTTGGGGAAAAGGCGGTAAGGAGGGTTTGGTAGAGTTTAACAGGGGGATGTAAAATCTCTCTTTCTCTCTCTCTCTCTCTCTCTTTCTTCTTTCTTTCTTTTTTCCTCTTCTTCTTCCTTCCTTCCTCTTCTTTTCTACCGATCGATACCAAAGTTAGATGTAAGAAAAAAAGGAAAAAACAAGTGCAGGGCAAGCCATTTAGAAGCACAATACCCCAAGGCTTTTTTTTTTATTCCATTCATTCACTGACCCACGACCCATTGTCCCTGAGAAATTGCGCCGCACGGTTTGTACAAGCACCATATTTTATCCTATTCTTATTTGCTTGGGCACTCGTGTAATACCCTACATCCGCCTGCATACAGTGCTATACAAGTACCGTACCGGCACTGTACTAGTACACGGGGAGTTCCGCAATTATCCCCGGGATTAAAAAGAAAGAAGGGGGAAAAGAAAAAAAAAGAAGCCTCACCGCTTCCTCCCCCCCTGCCCCCCCCCCCGAACGAAAAGTTCATCCGATGCTATTGCAACTTATCGTCGCCATCAAAATCATCACCAATAAGACTCCTACCATATCACACACGCCACCCCCGTGACGAGAATGGGGGGGGGCGAAAATATGGTCCCGGGTGCAACATTCCGGCTGGCTCCTTCATCACCAAATCAGCGTTTTCGCACTTTTTTGCTATTATACCCGGTACTTGCTGCCCATGATAGGTACGCTATGGTACAAGTACCTGAGCGAGCGAGTAGGTGAGTAAGTAAAGCAAACAAAGCAGAAGGACAAGTATAATACGGTAGGCCGGGCCCAGTCAGTCAGTCAGTCAGCTGACGAAGAAAAAAAAAAAGGAGAAAGACACAAACTGCTGTTCGCGTGATATTTGTTCTTGTTTGTTTGTTTGTTTGTTCCGTTTGTTTTGGTATAAGTACCGTATGATATCCGCCAAGTTACCGTATCATACGCGTAACGTCGTATGATATCAAAGGAAGGAAAAGAAAAGGGGAGAATAATCACATGATTACAGAGTCACAGATTGAACTGACCGAATAACTGAATAACTGCATTGCATAGCATAGCATAGCATAGCAGGGCGTAACGAACGGAGCGGAGCGGAGCATCCACCGCTTATATACCAGGCTTAATTCACATTACTCGTAACCTCCGTGGGGTTCGCATATCCTGAACGCACCCTTCTGGGACTCCTGGTCGATTTTGGATTTTCCCCCTTCTTTTTTTTTTTCCCGGCTTTTTGTATGCAGCGGTGCCGTACGATGGTCCGGTTCGGGATATTACGCGTGGAGCGCCGTGCCGTACCATGACATGCCGTGGAGCAATGCAGCGGGTATTCATCCATTCCTTCATTTATTCATCATCCACTGGATAGAGATAGAGAAGAGAGACCTGGCGGCATTGTGACATGTCGGATTCCCTGGTTGGAGCGCGTGGGTGGGTGTGTGTGTGTGGCGGTGCGGTAACGGTACCGTGGGTTTGGGTCGGTATCCGTGGTATTTGTCCCGGGAACAGGAGCGGGCATGCTTCTTCCCGTGCTGTTCTACACAGGGGTTCATACATGATTTATCACTCGTAATTGTGTGCACTGCGGATATGTGGATTTTATGTATTTGCGTGATGGGGTTTTTTTGAGCCCGCGGGATGGAATGAGATGGGATGGGAGGAGTGGATACATTTGGTGATGTGAATGAATGCTTTTCAGGGGTGGAATGGGATGAACTGTCAAGTTGACTGATGTTCGTGCTATTCCTTTGGAAAAAAGGGCCCCGGGGTGTTGGGGGGGGGGGGTGTATGATGGATGTGATATGACGGGAGAGATGACGCGTGGGAAGGACGAGAACGGTGGGGGAGAAGAATTGACAGGAAAAACGGAGGGGAGAAAAAAAGAAAAAAAACAAGAAGGGGAATATATCATAATAGAATAGAAATAGAGACAAACCCGTTAACCTAAACCCATGACAAAAGGAGAGCCGAACCTAGGAGGAAAAAATGCATAAGGAACCCCGAACCCCAAGTAAAGAAGAGAGAGGAAAGGGAGAAGGGAAATGGAAAAAGAATAAGGAGGGGAAATATTCTCCCGTCTATCACGCCAAGTGGCGAATAAAAGTGAAAATGAAATAGAAGTCAAGCCATTCCCCGAAATCCCCCTCCAGAAACCCCAACGGCGGCCCCAGCATCGGCCCCCCACTCCCTCCACCCCTTCCAATTCCTAGCCAGAAACTCCAACCTCGCCCGCCGACTCGGGTTCTCCATTTCGACGGTGGAATCCATGCCATTCCATCCCTCCAGGTCAACCAATGCCTTCCCTACTCCTCCTCCTACTCCCCCTCCTGCTAGAAGCCTCCTATCGACCCAATGCTCCTCACCGCAGGGCCAGCAAGAGTCCCCGGCGCCCCCCATAGCGCTCTTCAACGTTTCAAAGCAAGCGGCGCAGTACCTGTCCCGTCGCTGTATGGGGAGTTCGCTGGTAGACTTCATATCCGCGCGGGGAGTCGGCGGTAGACAGTGGGGGGAGTTTGAACACTTGGCTACTCGGTAGAAGGCTTTGTGGGGGTGTGGCGGGGAGGGATGGGAGAGGGGGGAGGGGGAGGGATGGAGGGATGGGTGGGTGGAGAGGCACTTTGAGTAGAGCCAGAGTTCGTATTGGCACATTTTTGGCGTTCGTGGGGACGTGTGTATGTATGTATGTATGTATATATATGTATGAATGCGTACTGTTGGGGTAGTGGTGCCCGTGATAGCTGGTTTGGGTAGTTGTGGCCTTGCCGTCGCCGTGACAGCACGATGGAGGGGTGGTGTATTGTAGATAGTATGTGGTTTAGTGCAGGCGTAGCAATAGCGTATGATACTGCAGTATACAAAGGCAGACAGGCAAACACCCTCTCTCTACCTCTGCGATGCGCGGGACCGTCGGAGTTATAGCACACCCACCGTCCCTGCAGGAAAGAAGAAAAAAGAAAAGAAAAAAAGAAGCAAAGGGCCGTGGGATGATGAATGCTTTTTTTTCTTTTTCCTATGATATTCCCTTTTTTCTTTTGCCCTCTCTAAAAGTGATTTGGACGGGAAAATTGAATCTGCAGCCTCGTCGAATGCGATGTGTGTGTCACCGCCCCTGGCTGCTCCACCGAAGATGTACTTTTTGGTTTGATACTATCGTACCCCTAGTCTCGCAAATTTGTACGGTAATGTGGTGCCTAGTTAGAATGAGGAAAATACCTTGCGGAGGAAGAGAGAGCTTTTTTGAGTTTTTTTTTACCCGGCCAACCAATCAGCTGCGCCCTCGGTTTATCGCAGAATTTGGGTGTATGGGGAGGTTTTCTGCACGATCTCTTTTTGCAATATTCCGAAAGCCCTAGGGCCTATGTAGAACGAAAATGAGAAGATTAAAGAGGCAGTGCCCTTTTCCTTCTCCCGTATAGTCCCACCCTCCCCTTTTTTTGCGTTCCGGGCAAAGAAGGGACGGGCACTAGACAATATCAAGTCGCTGGTGGTGGAGCTTGCAGTGTTGAACGCTCGTTCTCACTGTTTTTTTTCCCCTTGGTATTCCTTCAGTTCCTGGTGTTGCGGAAGCCCACGTTCGGGTCACTCCTTCCTTCTTTCACTTTAAACGCTGGCGCACTTCTCCTTATGCCCAAGAAAGCGCGCAAGAAGGGAAGAAAGAAAAACAAATGATGAAGTGTCCTCCCACTGATGCTGGTCGTCTCACGTACCCCGGAGCAAACCCTACTTTTTTTTTTCTTCTTCTTCCCCTTCCTTTTTACCCAACCTTACCACGCAGACGCTGCGGCGATGACGACCACCGCCACCAGCGCAGGTGTATCTATGGCGACTTGGGAACCAACGGATGAGGTAGCTTAGCTAACTTAATCCCTTTTCGTGAGGTTTCTCCTGTTCCCGGTTGAAGCTCTTCGACTCGTGATTTCCGCTCTCGCTGTGCTGTACTGATATCGTGCTTTCCATGAATGAATGGACGCGAGGGGACAAGCGTAAGATGGTGGAATCGCGGTGGGTGAGTAGGAGAGCACTCAAATGGGTGAATGGATGAATGAGTGGACGAACGGGTGAGCAAACGCGCAACACGAAGGAGTCAATGAATCAATCAGTAGAAACTTTGGCGGGGATGTTCGCTGTACATAAGTACTGTACTTTTCGGGGCCCCTCTCCTCTTCGCTCTCCTGCCTCCTCAGGCAGGGGGGCGTGCAATGAACGAATGAATGAACAAATGAGTGAAATAACTGATCCAGTGAAGCCCGGAGGAGAGGAGAAGGAAAACATTCTTTTACAGGGGGGTTAGTGGGGTGGTGGTATCGGATGTGTGAAGGGGGGCGGTTTGCTCATGCCTCCCCTTTTTTTTCATCTCTCTCCTCTTCTCCTTTCTTTTTTTTTCTTCCTGTCACTGTTACCCGTTGAGGCTCAGGGTGGGAATGACTTGCATCCCGAGCAGCAGATGTTAAATTTATTTGCAGTATTACCTATTTTGGTACCCGGTCAGTGTCAGCGTCTGCGGATGAATGAGTTACCGTAGTTATTAATATCGTTAAGCGGGACAGTTCTCGGGCATATACTCATCGATGGTGGTCCACCTGCCTCGTCGCGCCGGAACGGGGGAGGAAAAATGGGGAGATGAATCCTGTAGGATCTGGATACTTGTAGAGCTGTGTGTTGTGTCCCTCAAGCCCTCATCCTCGCCTGAGGTTTGGTATTCTCACGTCTTTCAGGGGAGCTGAACAGCTATGATAGCTCACCTCTAGCCATGTTTTTCGCCACCCCCCTTTCCAGAGAAGGAAATTTTGGACTACCCAGCGTGAGGCTCAATTATTCCACGGAGCGGGCAATCCATGCCCATTGTGTGAATCCCCATGAATTGCCACCAATCTACATGCTGAGCGGCTGTGAATCTAGGGATCTACCGTACAGGTATGTTTCACGATTTGTGGTATGATATCGATGGACGTGGGAGCCTCCAGGCGTAGGGACAATTAATTGGACAGGGGAACTTGGGGGGGGAAATTTGATTTCGGGGGCTTCAGAATTTGCATGG